GAACCGGAAAGATGCCGAAGCCTGGTTCCTCACTCAGACCGAGGAACTGAACAGGGAGGTCGCTGGCCACACTGAGCAACTCCAGATAAGCAAGACAGAAGTCACCGACCTCCGACGTACCTTCCAGAGGCTTGAGATTGAGCTACAGTCCCAGCTCAGCATGAAAGCCGCCCTGGAAGGCACGCTGGCAGAGACAGAGGCCGGCTACTCAGCCCAGCTGACACAGATCCAGGGTGTGATCAGCAGCATAGAAGCCCAGATGAGCAATGTGCGTGCTGACACTGAGCGCCAGAACCAGGAGTATCAGCAGTTCATGGACATCAAGTCGAGGCTGGAGCAGGAGATCGCCACCTACCGCAGCCTGCTTGAGGGCCAGGAAGCCCACTACAGCAACCTGCCCACTCCCAAGGCCATATGAGCTGATCCTGGGCTCTGGCCTTGTTGCCAGTGAGACTTCCCTGGTGAGGGGCATGACTGGGGTGATACATTTATTCCATCTCTTTCCTTGACTTGCCAATAAAACTATGCTTTGCTTATTTCAGCCCATGGAGTGATGGGTTAACAAAAAAAAAAAAAAAAAAAAAAAAAAGAATAATTCTATTGTTGAACACTAGCCCTAGCTGATGAAGGTCTCTGTTCAGGATAGTGGAGACAACATTGTGCAAGAGTGCTTCTGATGCTACAGCCTTTTTCCCAGTCCAAGCTTGGGTGTTTTGAAAGTAGTTTGGAACTGACAATGGTGGAAATATTTGTATATGGAAATTGGCACACAGTAAATGAGAGTTTCATCCTGAGGTATGTGGCTGTTGGTAAGCATAGCCTGTTGATGTGAGCATCAATTTCCCACCCCCCCTCCTCCCATTCCTTTTATTCCTACCCATTTATTCCCAAGTATCCTTCATGCTGGTGGTTGCATACCAGACTTCCAGGAGAAGTCCTGTCTTCCTGGCTTTGCTGTATACTTTACTAAAAGTATGCAGGAAATTGGTCTCATATTTTATCATCTTCCAAAACATTGCTATCATCTGTGACTTTCAAATAACCAGGAGGGTTAACAGCATCTTTACATGATGTTCTTCTTCAAGTCGAAGCATTTCCATGATGAAGATTTCTGTCTTCCATTGAGAGGAAAGTTTGCTGTCACAATGAGCAGCCATGTCACTTCTTCTGGATGTGCTTATGATTGGGCCACAATGCAAAGGATCTTCCTGTTGGCTATTTTCTTTCCATTTGAAAGTATGTTTTGTTATTTAGAGCAGAGCCATAGATCATCCCAGACAGAAGCAAGATGAGAGTTCATTGCAGGAGACTTATTTTGGTTTGTCTATCTCAAAGGAGGGGGATGATTATGCTGGTAGTCAGGACACTGATTAACTTAGAATACAGTGAACAATTAGTTCTCTCCTATGAGAACTGGAAGCCCAGTGAAAAAATGGGAACACAAAGATTTTATAATTATCTTTGGATATTTAAATGAACTTTTGTCCCAGGTGACACCTTCAGTTGCCTAGAGAGATTATCCAGTGCACTGCATTGTGGGAGAACAAGCATTGCTTGGCTGAATGTGCAGAGCCAAGAGTGTAGATGACCTAACACACACGTCTGTGTATGCACAGTCACACACAAACACTGGGCTCTCATCCTTCTCTGTAGCTTGCAGTCCTTACAGAGCAAGGGGTCTGCTCACCCACAACCCTTCCACTGTCACTCCATCCCTTCAGACTTTTCTTTCTACTTAAATATGCAGAACTCGCTCCCAGTTTTCACCTCCCAGACACATATTGCTTATCCCATCTTCACTATCCACCAGAAGAGAATCTTGTCTGTGTTATAAAATATTCTTGTTTTGTAAAACTGAGCATCCACAAGACAATCAGCCCTTCCTTGTGCTAATATCAGGGCTTCTCAGCCTTATTGTCAAAACCAGGGAAGGCTCGTTCTCCTTACAAAGCCCTCCTTGTAAATTCCTCAATCTATTCCTCTGAGGGAGAAGAGATGAAGAACATAAGGCCTGTTCTCCTTTGCTAGTGAGATAGCTACAGGTGTTTGTGAGAGAATCAGGAGAAAGTTGGAGAACCCCCAGTTGCTCTCATGATGCGTTTATGAACAGTTTGACTGTTAACTCTACTCTGTGGCAAACAATTGCTTTCCCCACAATTCTGAACCTGATTGAAACACTGTCTCAGAGAGTCTGGGCATCAGGATTCTCACCTATTGAATCAGTGTGTTAGTATTGGCTTACCAGAAACTGAAGTTTGGAGAAGTGAGGTGATTTGCTTAGGGTCACCTAGCTAGGAATTGGACTCAAAGTCAGGTAGGCTGTGTTCTGCCACCCAGAGTAAAGGACCTGGGTGGAACACTGGAAGGAAGGCCACTGTACCTTCCTCTATAATACCACAGAATCCTACCCCTCCCAGGGCAAAGAGCTTTTAGTCCTCTCTCTGCATTATATTTGAATGCTTCCTTATTATAGGAACAGACCCCTAGGTGGTATACTCTGATGGAGATGATTTTGTTTTCCAAAATACGTAACTAAACATCCCTATGATGTTATTCAGAGTCTGGCCCTCCCAGTGCTCTGTTAATCCTTGCCAAAAACATAGGAATTGATATCAGCCATATAATATGATTTCCCTTTAATCAGTGAGGACAGCAGAGAATAAGGAACTTAACCAGAAAGATATATGTGTCTACTTCAACTGGAATATGATGTCTTGTGTTTATATAATTAAACGCTGAAGGAAAAAGTAATGTGTGTATGGTCTGAATAACATAATTCTTATATCCACATAATATAGCTAACCAGTTAGTGAATAATTATCATTCCATCTTAAGTTCATTACATAGTGGTATCAATAATATTTTAGTGATAAGTCTAACTGCATGCAAACCACTTACTTGTTACACTATTAGCACAATAATTTTATTATAAACACTTTATTTAAAGTTATTCAGCACAGAAATTAACATGAGTTGTTCTTTTGACATTCAGCTATGCTAAAATGTCCTCAAGGAATTTTTAAAATGCAACTGTTTAACATGATTATGCCATTCTGCCATATATCCAATACAGGAATATTAACCTCTCTCTCTCTCTCTCTCTCTCACACACACACACACACACACACACACACACTATAGAACACTGTCAGGAGTAAAGGGCAACACACTTGTTAAGGTGTTTCACAGATGTGGAATTGTGAGGAGCAAAAGGTTCTTTATAACTCCATGGTTCTTTAGACTCCACAACTTCAATCTCTCTTTGAAAGAATCCTCCCTAAAACCCCCCTCCTACAGGCTATCCACCACCATAAGACACAATCTAGATGTGAGCATCACTTCTTTCTCATTCCTGTCAACACTATAAGCTGAGCTCTGAGCATCCTGTGGGACTGTAGAGTGGGCTGGAGTGGCTGCTAAATGCCTGTCAGTCCCATCACTTGGGCAATCTGGAAAGAAAACACAAAAACAGATTTTCTGTTGACTGCATAGCTGATGGTTCACAGAAACTAAGACTTGTGTAGATCTACTAGGGCTTAAATCTAAATTTCCTACTCTATGGCCTGGAACAACTTATCACAAACCCCAGTACTAATATTCATTAGTGTTTACTGAGTACTCACATTGTGGCAAGAGTACTCACTCTGTGGACTCCACACATGTGAATCCATTTTCTTTTGCTATGTCTAACATTTGCTCCACAGTTTAAAGTATTGACTTTGAAAACTGACATATAGGGGGCAATGATCTACCAAACATTAGTTACCTTATGAGGGTTTTACAAGGTATTGTCATTAACCAATCTGTTCCTATAAATGATAAATAGGTAATGGAGGAAGACAATTGTTGAGGTGTTTTCCCACCAATAGTCCATCTGGCAGATAACTCTCATTCTGAATTTTCTGGGCAGACACTTCCCCAAGACCAGCAGATTTCTCCACATAATTGACTCACAATCACAAACAGCAAGTAGCTCAAGTGTTATTACCAATGCTGTTTTGATGATGAGGAAATTTAGGCATGGTGATATTAAATAATGTCCCTAACATTTATATACCAGGGTCCCTGCATTTAATCTGCCCTTAGTTCCTCTCACTGTGCAAAGTAAATGAGTGGTCCTAATGGAGGAGAACAAACTACTACAAGGATGTGAGGGCCAAAACTAAGGTAAATTAGAATCTTTCAGGACGAGTTAGTATCAAGTATACTGGGGTGGCATTCCTTGAATGTGAGAAGAAAATTCTTTTAAATTTAGGTAGCGTATGAAGTAATGAAATCCAGCATTTCCTGACTTCTCATGTGAGAAACACCCCAGCCTTGCCGCTGCCTCCTTGTTGGCATTTCTCCTGTACAGGAGACTTCTCTGAGGTCATGCTCCCACTTTTCAGTCTCTTCTTCCCCACAGATCCGTATTTTCCACCAGGAAAGGGCATGATATTAACTCATAACATTGAACCTTCTACTAGTTAATTTAGAAACAGCAGGCGGCAACAGAGAGACATATCTGCCTGTGGGGACTTGAGGCAAAGCACTCTTAGAGCTCATGCTCTGAATGGAACCTCCTACTTATCTGATCTTCAGTCCCCTAACTCTGGATTTCTCCAGTCATGCTTTTACAGAAAGCAATCTATACCGTTCCAAAAGAAAAACCATGTCTACTGAAGAAAATGGGCTGAGTAACTGTGAAGAAACACCTTTTTGAGGCATCCACAGGCGACTCTCCAGGCCCTTTCTGTGGAATTATGGCATCAACCGCCTGAGGTGCTGCACTACTTTCACACTTGGTCCTAGCAACATTTCTCTAAGTCACAGCACTGTCCTTTAGAAGCTCTACAGCCTATGTCACCCTACTTGTCATCTTCCTGTGGCTCACTAAGATGTGGTGCTGCTCCTTAGAGTCCTATGACTTCCTGCTGCCTGGACACTGGGTTCCTGGTCATGATTTTATGACCACCATCTTTCTAATATCTACCTTTTTCTTTTTCTTTTGTTCTCCACAGCTTTTTGCAATCTTTGCATTTGCAACATGCGGCGGCTATTCAGGAGGCCTGCGGCTGAGTGTGGACTGCGTCAACAAGACAGAAAGTAACCTCAGCATTGACATAGCCTTTGCCTACCCGTTCAGGTAAGGAATGGTGATCTGTGCTCCTCTGCCTCACAGCAGGTGGCTTTACTCCTCCTGTGGCTTCTGGGTAGGAAGACATTCAGTGTGAAACCACAGAATGCCATTACTAGAGTGTTCATCCACCACTCCACACTAGGAGGATTTGCTAACTATACCTTTAATCTAGTATTGAGTATCCTATGAAATTAAAGCCCCCCACTATGGCTCAGTGTTGGGGGATATCAACAGAAAGACTATATCTACGTAATTATTTTCTCCAACTTTAAGATTTCTCACATCCTATCCAGATTTGTAGGTTACATATACTTTTATATTGGCTGTGGAATTCTGGCTGGTAACATGTTTAATAGTATTAATATCTAATAATGTCTCTGTGTACCAGATAAATACTGCTTAGATGACAACCTATTCAATCTCACTTACTCATCATAATGACACTTTGAGGGAAGGTCCATTACCATCATCATCATCCTGAAATACTGATAGAGAAGTTCATTTTTCCCTTATACTCTCTCTGCTACCAAGAAGCAAAAGCAGAGTTTTAGTTCACCTAACTTGAAAGAAAATCATCTCTCTATTGCTATACATAACTTGACAGAAACCTTTTCAATCTCTATCAACTCAATGTCTGTTCATGCCTATTAATTCATTGACAGATGCCCTTCAGAGCTTGTTCCCAACCTCATGTCTCCTGACTCTGATCCAGAGACCTAATATAGACTAACTTCATTCAATTTTAAAATTGTTTATTCATGTAAAACTCCCAAATAATTGACATCAGTTAACTCTAGTGGAAGATGTTAAACAACTTTTAACAGTGTTTTGGTGTGTTATATACTCTTTGTTCATTTCATTTTAACATTCCCTTCTGCGGGCATGATGGTGGCTCTATAATTACAAAGAAAGTCAAAATCAACCTTTACAAGATTTTTTGGAAGCAGGTAAGTACACTATTTTCCAAAAATATTTACATGAACCCCAAAGAGATTGTCACTAGAGGAAAGTGAAATGAGGAAAAAGAAGGGGGAAGAGAAGGAAGGGAAGAAAAAGAAAGAAGATGGAAGAAAGAATTTAGGAGTATGATGAAACAAACTCTTTAGTACTTCATCTTCCTAATGTACATCCTGAATCACCAAGGGACCCATTGCTTTTCAAACATATTCCCCGTGGAAATTCTTATCTTCCCTACCAAGTAGCTTAGAGAATTCACAAATTGTGGAGTGTAGCTTTAATATATTAGCCTCATAAACAAAGTCTAAAACAAACCTGCCTTTATTTATGGGTGACAGAGCATAGGAAGTGGTGTTTTTACCAGCATTCCAAGGGGTGAGAAGAATAGAACAGACAGCATGTTCAAATGGCCCTGGTCAGATAGTCTCCCCACTTACAAGAGCATACACAGCTCAGAACTGCTAAGGAGTCCTCCCTGTAGATTCACTATGAATATTTATGCTGCGCCTGTGAACAAGAATGTGAAGAAGCTGAATCTCCAGAAGGTGTGTATGAAACCCTTGGCTTCTGGAAGAGAAACCAAGCCAACACCTGTTCATTGACCAGTATTCACCATCTTGGATCTAGAAGACCATCTAAGAATTCTCAATGGCCAGGAAGTGGGACGAGAATGCTTAACATTACTCCTGATCTCATAATGCCTACATTGATTCCACAATATTCTGTGAATAAGAGCCCATAGGGTGACCTCAAGGTCAACCCCTTAAGGCAGTGCTTCTCAGCCTTCTGAATGCTGCCACCCTTTAATACAGTTCCTCATGTTATGATAACACCCAACCATAAAATCATTTTTGTTACTACTTCATAATCATTATTTTGTTACTATTATTAATCACAATGTAAATACCTGATATGCAGGATGTCTGATATATGACCCCTGTGAAACTATCATTTGACCCCTAAAGTTGCCTTGGCTTTTCCATTTCCTTCCCAAGACTGCAGAGCCATGCACTTGGCCAAGTGAAGGGCATCTGGAGAAACTGGGCTAAGACAGTGGAGTTTTTATCCTTCCCGTTTTAGGTATTAGTTCTTTTATTTGAAATATGAATGATTTTTAAGTAGGGTTCTAAAACAAAAAATTGCTCAAACATTGTGATTTTTTCTTTAACCTGGAATTTTCTTTCATATACTACCTTATTCAGGAGTTCATATGCAAAGCAGATAAAAAAATAATTGAAAACATGGAAGCAGAGAAGGGAAGAGCTTGAAATAACCACCCACTTTCATTCTCTCATTAGACCAGGCAAATGGCCTAAACTAAAACTACTAATCAATAGTGTACCCCCTGAAATAACCCCTGGGAACCCCAGGTCTCCCAGGAGCTATGTAAACTCCCCTATTCTTTATAGAGAAAGAAATAAACTTTTGCCACATATGCGCATTTACTGCTCATCCATCCCACCAATAACATCCATCTGAGAGAAGTGTTTGACTTGGTTGGGTGAATTTCAACTCCATGTTTGGATACTGTGACATGCCATGCCCTTCTGTTGAGAATGTTCTCAATAATAAGCAAGAATTTATACAGGTTACTGTATAAATATAAGCCAGTGTCAGTAACTTGATCATAATCCTTGAATTAAGATGGGAACTTTCAGTAGCTTCTAACTGTTCAGTTTATTTGCAAACACAAGGGACATGTAAACTCAAGCACCAAGTCATTGAAATAAAAAGAGATACTTTGTGAATCACAGCTCAAAAGGGCCTTCTCACCTGGTTGTCAGAAAAAGACTTCAATTAACACAGTAATGTCAATTAGAAAATATAGATAACTCACAAAAGACTCAACTGCTGCTTCTAGTAAATGTAGCAAAATGTGTATTTCTTCTACACCACCACATGTGTACACTTTTGCTTATACCAATGGCAGAAAGTTGTGTCACTATTCAGCAATACATCATTTTATTATAGAACTAAGATCTTCCTTTTGGACTGCGATTAAAACAAACAAGTGATATTTAATTGTTTTCCCATCTCCTGTAACATGTTAGCATGTTGTGAACTTGCTCTACATTGGAAGGCAGGGGTTGAGTTCTGGATCTCAGATTCTTAGCACGTCTTTCAGACACTGAAGTGTAAAGCAGGGCTGCTCAGTTTCAGGCACTTAAAATATTCAAAGAACACCAACTAGAAGAATGCACATACTTTGAGCTAACACATGAATGCAGAATGAAGGAGGTCAGGACTGTGCATTTCATGGGCTGTGGGGGTGGGACAAGCAAATGAATTAGAATCAGAACAGTTTATAAATGTAGAACATCCACAAAGTGATCCCTAGACAACCATTAAAAACATTTAACAATGTGAAAAATACTCCATGAGCAAATACAAGGCCATGTAAGTGATGATTTGGATTTGTTTTCATTATAGCTGGTTGGAGTAGAAACTTCCATTTGCCTCATACATAACCTGTCCCTTCCTCATTCCTGGCTATACTTCCGAGTGAGTGCAAGCCCAGACTGCCCTTAAGTAGTTTCCTCTAGCTACAGAAAAGTGCCTAGCTAACAGGCATGGTAGGAAAGGACCACCAACAGGTTAATGTTTCCTGGAGTAGTCCTTACCCCTTGACAACTGTATCATCCCTCTTATGGCACTAAAATGAGGTATGTTCTATTCTACACATTTTCTCAGAGATGCCCAGCAGGACAGCTTCACCATTAATGAAAAGCTTTTTATGTTCTATCCTTCCCTGTTCCACTAGAACATTACTCTTTTTCTGTTTTGAGAAATAACTCTTCACTTAACTCTTCATCTCTGGATCTATGTTCTTGATACCATTGTGCGATTGTGACTAGACACTGACAATTTAAAGAGGGAAGATTTCTTTTGGCATAGGGTCTAGTCATCTTCCCACCACCATGAACTCCAACATTTTCCCCTCACCATGATGACCCAAGACCCTGTGAAATGTATCTGTTGAACAGACAGCGGTACCTCTTCCACAGTATTACTGCCAGTGTTGAATGAGACGTACAAGAAGAATGTTTAAACAAGAACTGACATTCAATAAGTTTTCTCCTAATGTTTTATTTTCACTTGCATTATAAAATCAGGGTAACTTAATTTATAATGAAATTATAAATTAGCTAGAGTGCTGAAAAAAAAAACAACTGATTAGCAGAGGTGTTCTCGAGGCAACAAAGAGCCTAAGACTATAGCTTTCCTCTCTTCGTACATGTAAACTGTCTCACACAATTAACTTGCTTGTACTGCTCTGGTGTTCTTCGGAGGGATTATTATGTGTCTTTCCCACCTACACCCCAGGCTGACAGAATGGAGAGATCTGTCACATGGGCATGGCATTGGGGAAATTATTCGCATCACTGGGGCGGGAGAGGGAGATTTAGCCTGAGCCCTAAGACCCAAAAAGGGGTCACACTAAAGAAAAGACAAGCAGGGGATGCTGAGTTGGCACTGACCGAACAGGATCATTTCTCTTCTCTGTGGTTCCACATTTCTTTTTGGGATGTGTGAAAAAGTGCTAGGAAACAGGAATGGTATGGAGTCTGGGCCTTTTGGCAGTATTACCAGCTCTGTCAGAAGAGAGGTGGAGAGAGCCTTTTCTTACAGTTCATACCCAAAGACAGTGGAGAGAAAAGCTCTCCCTACCCTTGAGCCAATGGGGGAAATACAAGAACTTAGGGCTGTAGTGTTTTTCCTCTTGTGTTCATGAAATGCTGTATCTGCAATTGGTACTTGGTTATTGTTTCTCATTGCCAAACATTTTCACTTTGTTTAGCTAAAACTTCAAAAATTTCCCATCTATAACATCTCATTTTAACATTGAACCTTAAACTGAACATTTGTAGGGTAAGATTTGGGTCTGCCAGGCCCTGGGAGTTTAGACGATTCTGAAGTGAAGGCCTAAAGGCCCAGTGCAAACCCCAAGCCAAATCCCTAGTTTTAAATCCAAGCTCTGCCTTCTAGTGGATGGGGATATTAAAAGCCCCTTTTGGCATTTGCGTGACGAACCCAACTGGACCTTCATC